TTAGAAAAATATAAAATAAAATGTTTTCTATTAAGGCGAATGCTCACTCTTGACAACTTTCAATATCTCAACCTAAACAGAATATACTGTGAAAGAAATTGTTCTCTGTGTTTGGTAGAAGCCAAAAAGAATTCTTCGTCAGGGACAGTGAAACGTAGACAAGCTGTTACTGTACCAATTCTGCAATGAGCAACTGGCTTTTTTGAATGACATATTGCAAATTTAAAAAAAAACATTTTTCTAAGTAAAGATTTCTGTCGGTGATTCTATTACATGGCAGCACCTTTCCAGTCATTGGAAGTTCTTCAACATGTGACGAACTCTCAAATACTTGCCCTTTTGAGACAATCATTTGTTTTATTCCTGCAACATGTCAACCGTTATCTACTGTTTCTGCATTCCTCTTGTATTGTTCTTGTTCCTTAATAATATTTCTCTTTTTTTATTCTTTTATATTCAGTAACTCCTTGTGTCTCGATGGCTTTACTGTCTTGCTTGGGGTGAAATGATAAAAGAAAATATTCCTTGTTTGCTTAGCAGTTTCCAATATTTCAAGCTATCGAATGATTGCTGGAAGAAATCATTGAATCAGAACCAGTATCCTTCGATATCTGTTTATATTTTCGAGATGAGGTATTGTGACTATTTACACTATTTACATTGTTCGGACTGTTGTCCTCATCTTTGCTGTCATATTCACGACATTTCGGCCGTTGTACGTTCCGGCTTTCTTCAGGTGTCTCCAAGAACACGTGGACCAGTGGATAAAAGCGTTGGTTGAAGTAATCCAATGACTTGACCCAAAGAGTTGTGAGTTCAAGCAGAGGTGAAAAAAAAATTGGAGAGTTGAGTTACTAAAGGGAAATGACTGAAATTAAATATATCCGGAAGAGGTATGGCACGTGGAACTAGAACAATGTGGACGAAATAATAGATTCGGTTCAAAATTCCAGTGATCTGAAGAAGGAGCGTACAGCGGCCGAAATGTGAATATGACAGCATAGATGAGGACAACAGTCAATGTAAATAGAGTAAACGGTGGCATTCTATGAAAATAAACGCTGTACCTTTTAGACATGCAAATGATACGTGTGCGATGGATAAATTGTCGTCTAAACTGCGCTTCACACATAATAATCAAAGGGTTTGCAAGTCTGAGGAGTCAGGGGGTCAGATGTAAGGTGTGATGTGGTCACAGAAATTGTCTGACAGCTATGACTGTGTTTTCCTTCTGGTGTGGCATGGTGCAGAGTCCTTTGCCATACTTAGGGTCATCCAGTAGCCACCCCTATGACTCTATGCAGCACTACCTACTCAAGACACTTGATGCAAGCCTCTGTGTTGAGTCTGAGGCCCTGTGAGAAGATGAATGGAGACCTAACATAGCCATCACTAGGGATCAATCCAAACACCATGTTATTGACTGGATATATCATCCAACTCTCCGATCCCTCTGCACTGCCCTCAGACTGACGCCCAAACTGAAATGAATCTGAAATGATCGTATTGGGCATTCCGGCGAGAAATGAATCTGAAATGGTCGTATTGGGCATTCCGGCGCGAAATGAATCTGAAATGATCGTATTGGGCATTCCGGCGAGAAATGAATCTGAAATGATTGTATTGGGCATTCCGGCGCGAAATGAATCTGAAATGATCGTATTGGGCATTCCGGCGCGAAATGAATCTGAAATGATCGCATTGGGTATTCCGGTGCGACATGAATCTGAAATGATCGTATTGGCTATTCCGGCGCGAAATGAATCTGAAAAAAATCGTATGGGGCATTCCTGCGAGAAATGAATCTGAAATTATCGTATTGGGCATTCCGGTTCGAAATGAATCTGAAATGATCGTATTGGGCATTCCGGCGCGAAATGAATCTGAAATGATCGCATTGGGTATTCCTATGCGACATGAATCTGAAATGATCGTATTGGCTATTCCGGCGCGAAATGAATCTGAAAAAATCGTATGGGGAATTCCTGCGAGAAATGAATCTGAAATTATCGTATTGGGCATTCCGGTTCGAAATGAATCTGAAATGATCGTATTGGGCATTCCGGCGAGAAATGAATCTGAAATGATCGTATTGGGCATTCCGGCGCGAAATGAATCTGAAATGATCGTATTGGGCATTCCGGTTCGAAATGAATCTGAAATGATCGTATTGGGCATTCCGGCGCGAAATGAATCTGAAATGATCGTATTGGGCATTCCGGCGAGAAATGAATCTGAAATGATTGTATTGGCCATTCCGGCGCGAAATGAATCTGAAATGATCGTATTGGGCATTCCGGCGCGAAATGAATCTGAAATGATCGTATTGGGTATTCCGGTGCGACATGAATCTGAAATGATCGTATTGGCTATTCCGGCGCGAAATGAATCTGAAATAATCGTATGGGGCATTCCTGCGAGAAATGAATCTGAAATGATCTTATTGGCCATTCCGGTTCGAAATGAACCTGAAATGATCGTATTGGGCATTCCGGCGAGAAATGAATCTGAAATGATCGTATTGGGCATTCCGGTTCGAAATGAATCTGAAATGATCGTATTGGGCATTCCGGCGCGAAATGAATCTGAAATGATCGTATTGGGCATTCCGGTTCAGAATGAATCTGAAATGATCGTATTGGACATTCCGGCGCGAAATGAATCTGAAAGAATCATATTGGGCATTCCGGTTCGAAATGAATCTGAAATGATCTTATTGGGCATTCCGGCGAGAAATGAATTTGAAATGATCGTATTGGGCATTCCGGTTCGAAATGAATCTTAACTGATCGTATTGAGCATTTCGGCGAGAAATGAACCTGAAATGATCGTATTGCGCATTCTTGTGCAAAATGAATCTGAAATGATCGTATTGGGCATTCCGGCGCGAAAGGAATCTGAAATAATCGTATGGGGCATTCCTGCGAGAAATGAATCTGAAATGATCGTATTGGGCATTCCGGCGCGAAATGAATCTTAAATAATCGTATTGGGCATTCCGGTGCGAAATGAATCTGAAATAATCGTATTGGGCATTCCTGCGAGAAATGAATCTGAAATGATCGTATTGAGCATTCCGGCGAGAAATGAATCTGAGATGATCGTATTAGGCATTCCGGCGCGAAATGAACCTCAAATCATCGTATTGGGCATTCCGGCGCGAAAGGAATCTGAAATAATCGTATGGGGCATTCCTGCGAGAAATGAATCTGAAATGATCGTATTGGGCATTCCGGCGCGAAATGAATCTTAAATAATCGTATTGGGCATTCCGGTGCGAAATGAATCTGAAATAATCGTATTGGGCATTCCTGCGAGAAATGAATCTGAAATGATCGTATTGAGCATTCCGGCGAGAAATGAATCTGAGATGATCGTATTAGGCATTCCGGCGCGAAATGAACCTCAAATCATCGTATTGGGCATTCCGGTGCGAAATGAATCTGAAATGATCGTATTGAGTATTCCGGCGTGTGTGTGTGAGAGAGACTTAATGAGCCAGACCCTACCTACCAAGGTTTCACCTAACGGATCTTCAAGGTACGACTGATTTTGCTCTGCTTAGTGTATTGGGCACTTTTATCTCTTTACTAAATTTACACTGTCGGTGTTTTTACTTTTGACGAGGCATTGAAGTGCAGATTGATTATTTTCGACCAACACAAATATCTTTAGTCTTTTCGTTTTTTATTGAATTCTTTATATTTGGGACTCATCAGCAGTGCGCATCCACTACCGAGAACTGAAACCCTGACAGGTTGTCAAGCAAACATCATCCCAACTGTTCCAACGGGCCTTGGCGACGAAGAGATTGCAAATATAGGACGAAACGGCCGTCCAGTGCTTTCTACATTCTGTTGAAGTTTCTTTCAGACTCGATGAATTACTTAAATATAATTATCAAATCCTCCTAATAATTTCTATCATGTGTATATCATTGCTTGAACCGGCTTCTAACGCTCTAGAGTGAGAGGCTTGGTGATAGTAGCCGTGGCACAGTCCTATGGTTAGTGAGAACTCACTAGAGTTCCACCACGGAATATGTAAGTGAGCGGCGCTATATTGAGTCTGATTGCAATCTCTTCGCCACCGAGGCCCATTTGGAACATTTGGTATGACGTTTGTTTAACAACCTAACTGTCAGGGTTTCAATTCCCGGTAGTGGATGTGCACTGCTGATGAGTTCCAAATATAGGACGAAACGATATCGAATCCTCCTAATAATTTCTATAATATATATATATATGTATATATATATATATACACACACACATATGTGCATGCACCTCGACGTGGTGTAATGGTTAGAAAGCTTGTCTCGGCCTTGTACTACATGTAAGCGGGGTTTAGAAAATCACTATATATATATATATGTGTGTGTGATACAATAGTAAATGTAATAATCTGGCAGAACAATAAGACCTCCATGGAGTGACGTTGTACCAATACAAAGGTAAGAAAACATACGTCTCTATATATGTATGTATGTTCCTGTATATATATATATGTATGTTGGTGTGATTAAGCTTGGCACGATAACATGCAAACTCACAGATACATACCCTCACATATACCGAAACTAGTGTACACATATGGAATAACATTATAAGCGCATTAGAGAATAAATGCCTATATTACAACTTGATATATAATATTAAAAATATTTTGTCACGCGCCATCTCCTGCTTAGTTCGAAGCACGGATTTTCCTCCTTTTATTTTCCTTTTCATTTCATTTGTTTTATCGTTTGTTTTTGTTTTTTGTTTGTTTGTTCACTAAACAACCGTTTCTCTCCATCTGTTTCTCTAAAAATGTTGTCAGTCATTTTTCCAAACAGCCAGTAGTTCCGTGTCTACCTCTTACCTGACAATAAACACGCCCTTTTCCCGTCACTTCTGCTATTGCTAAATCTTTTGCCCCCAACGACTGCTTTCTTTCATCAGTTTCATTCCTGTTATTTTTTTTAACCATACCCGCCTCTACCATCTCTTTTTTTTTTAATGAAGATACACACTGCTAACAGTGAGGCTCAGAGATTCGCATTCTCTCTCTTCTTAAGACAAGTCAGTCGAACCGTCTGCCTGATCGTTGCACGCGTCAAACACTAGAATACATCAGGCGTGCTTCCATCTTTTTCTGTGTCCCACCAAAACTTTTGTTTTTGTCTTCTCTTTTCATTTCTCTCACCTTCTCTTGCTTTTGATCACTAGTTGTCTTTCTTTTCCCCCCTCTCTCTCTCTCTCTATTCTTCTTCGTTCTTCGACCTCTCTCTCTTTTTTTTTCCATGTCTTCGTCTAACGTTTCGAATTTTCTTCCTCTTCTGTTTTTCGTTCCATCTCCTCCTCTTCTCTCTTTTTCTATTTCTTTCCCTCCTTTCTTTCTTCTCGATCTCTCTGTTATTTTTTTCTAATTTTTCGTTTATATTTGTTTTTTTTTCTTCTCCTTTCTCCCACTTCTTCTCATACAATTCTTTTTCGCCTTCTCTCTCCCTTTTTTCTTCTTCTTATACTTTTATTTTACTTCCCTTTCGTTCTTTCATTTTTTCTTTCCTCTTCTTCCTTTTCCTCCTCCATCTTCTTCCATTTCCTCCTCCCTCTTTTTCTCTTTCCTCCCCCTCTTCTTCCCTTTTCTCCTCCCTCTCCTTCCATTTCCTCCTCCGTCTTCTTCCATTTCCTCCTACATCTTCTTCCATTTCCTCCTCCCACTTTTTCTTTTTCCTCCTCCCTCTACTTCCATTTCCTCCTTCATTTTCTTCTCTTTCCTCATCCCTCTTCTTCCCTTTTCTCCTCCCTCTTCTTCCATTTCCTCCTCCGTCTTCTTCCATTTCCTCCTACATCTTCTTCCATTTCCTCCTCTCACTTTTTCTTTTTCCTCCTCCCTCTACTTCCATTTCCTCCTTCATTTTCTTCTCTTTCCTGCTCCTCCTACTTCCATTTCCTCCTCCCTCTTCTTCCATTTCCTCCTCCGTCTTCTTCCATTTCCTCCTACATCTTCTTCCATTTCCTCCTCTCACTTTTTCTTTTTCCTCCTCCCTCTACTTCCATTTCCTCCTTCATTTTCTTCTCTTTCCTGCTCCTCCTACTTCCATTTCCTCCTCCTCTTACTTCCATTTCCTCCTCCGTCTTCTTCCATTTCCTCCTACATCTTCTTCCCTTTCCTCCTCCCTCTTCTTCCATTTCCTCCTTCATTTTCTTCTCTTTCCTCATCCCTCTTCTTCCATTTCCTCCTCCTCTTACTTCCATTTCCTCCTCCGTCTTCTTCCATTTCCTCCTACATCTTCTTCCCTTTCCTCCTCCTCTTCTTCCATTTCCTCCTTCATTTTCTTCTTTTTCCTCATCCCTCTTCTTCCATTTCCTCCTCCTCCTACTTCCATTTCCTCCTCCGTCTTCTTCCATTTCCTCCTACATCTTCTTCCCTTTCGTCCTCCCTCTTCTTCTATTTCCTCCTTCATTTTCTTCTCTTTCCTCATCCCTCTTCTTCCATTTCCTCCTCCTCCTACTTCCATTTCCTCCTCCGTCTTCTTCCATTTCCTCCTACATCTTCTTCCCTTTCCTCCTCCCTCTTCTTCCATTTCCTCCTTCATTTTCTTCTCTTTCCTCATCCCTCTTCTTCCATTTCCTCCTCCTCTTACTTCCATTTCCTCCTCCGTCTTCTTCCATTTCCTCCTACATCTTCTTCCCTTTCCTCCTCCCTCTTCTTCCATTTCTTTCTAGATCTCTTTTTTACTTCTTTCTTTAAATTATTCTTCTCCTCTCTTTCTCACTTTCTTCCCTGTCTCCTTCGTCTTCTTTGTCTTCTTCTTCTTTACTTTCTTTTTCCTTACATATTTCTACGCTCATTGATTACATCCTTTTCTTCTTTTCTTTTTCAAGTATGTTTTTTACTCTTTCCCTATCAAGTTTCGCGTTTTCTCACACATTTTTTCCTAGTCTCTTTTCTTTTCTATTTTAGTTTTTCATTCATCGCTATTTCTTTCTCATTCTAAATTCTCTCGTCTTCTTTTTAGCTATTTCTTCTCAGAAAGGAGAAGGTAACGTCTGCTTTTTGACTGTATCTTTCCTATTAAATCCTTCATTGAGCGCGTACCTGAGTTCATCTTACGTTTTTTCTTGTCTCATTTCTCTTCTTTGACTTTCTTTCTTTCATCTATTTACCTTTCCTCACCATCTCTTCCCTTCCCTTTTGTTCTAATTACTCTTTTTATATCTCTTGTCTTATTCATTCGGTAAATATCATCAATTTCCTCTTCCTCTCTCTCTCTCTGCCTCTCTCTCTCTCTCACCAGTATTTTCTATCATCGTTCTTTATTTCTTTCTTTCTTTCTCTCCCGTAAGTTTTTTTTCCTTCCGGTGAGGGTGCACCTATTCTCAACGGCAATTCTACTTCCAACAGAACCACTTCAAACAGTAGTCTTTTCACAGTAAACCGACCACGTATACAATCGCTTCCTCTTCTAACCGCCTTCTGCTTCCTGATTTGTAGTATTCTTATTCACCAGTCTCACCCCCCCCCACCTTGTCCCAGCACCACCACCCGGACCTACCCGTCTTTTCACCCTGTCAGACACTACACTCTTCTCGCTCCACTATTTGGCTATCTTTTTTCCGTCTCGCCCCAATTTTTTTTTTGTTCTTCTTCGCCTCAACTAAAACCAATGACAGACTTATTCATTTCTTTTTCAACACCCTTCAACCTCTCCCTTTCACTCTTTCTCTCAACCTCACTCTCCTTCTTGACTTCCCCACCCTCCGTCCTCTTGCCCTACCCTTGCTGCAATCGTGATGAGGAGGCAGACCCCGTAAATCTGCACCCGGTATTCTTTCAACCGCCATCTGTTCACTAAAATTCTAAATATCAAACTTTTCTTTTTTAACCCAAAGATTGGGGTTGATGCCATGGTTCGTTTGGTAGGAATTGTGATTACTTATTTAGTTCTGCTAACACAAATATTGGGTTGAAGCTAGCTAATTGGGTTTTTTTTTTTTTGGTATTTTTTGTTCGTTTTTTGTTTTTTGTTTTGTTTTTCTTTTTGTTTTTTGTTTCTTTGCTTTATGTCAGTTTGTGGTAAAAAAAAATTAACTAATCTTAATTACATAAACATTTTATGCATTTGATAAAGATGAATTGTTACGTTATAACAGAAAACAATTCGTATCCTTAAACATCTTTGGTCAGTGTACCCAAAGTTACAAAATTAACAATGCACATTCTGACTGAAAGACAATCGAACTTGTAACTGTTGCATACAAGTAGATACCCTACCAAAAAGCAATACTTAATGCATTTTAAAAATAAAATAAAAAAAATCTTTCTTGAAGCATTGATTTTAGTTTTACTTCCAGTCTAATCGATTAAATTTAATATCACCAATCAGCAAAATACTTTCAAACCGAATTTAAATTAAGTTATTTTGGCTCCTTATCAATAAAATCTAATACATATGGACAAATCTATTGACATAACATAATTCTCTTTATTAAAAAAAAATCTATTTACATTATTCGGACTGTTGTCCTTATCTTTGTTGCCATATTTATCACAATGTTTCGGCCGTTGTACGCTCCGGCCTTCTTCAGGTGGTTGGAATGTCGAACTGACCCTTTATTTCGCTCACTGGGCTAGACTGTTCTAGTTCCACGTGACAAGTCTAATGGATGTCAGTTATCAGTTATCTCCTATTAATTCCCCTCTCTAATTTCTCCACCGCCTTAACCAGGTATTGAACTCATGCTCTTTGAGTCCGGTCACTGGATCTAACTAACGTCTTTATCCACTGTACCATGTGTCCACGGTGGACCCAAAGGGCGTGAGTTCGATACCTGGTTAAGGCGGTGTGATAGGGCAACAAAGATGAGGACAATAATCCGAATAATGTAAATAGTGCACATAATACCGCATCTCAAAAATATAGACAGATACTAAAAAAAATCTTTCAAAAATAAAATTTACTTTTCTGAAAATTTACACGAGACATATTAGCTGAAATAAAATTTAATTAATCCGAATTGAAACAAATATTAATTACTTTTACTTTAAAATATCGCAGAATGGCATCTTTAGCATGAAGGTAGCTGTTTTTTGACGTGTTGAGTGAGACATTTGACAGTCTGATGTTTGAGAAATAAAATTACACGACAAATACAACGTGAGCGCTTTTTTTATATGTTGTTTTTAATTAGCCAGTAATCTTTAAAATTTTAAATACTTTAAGCATTTTAATATTTACTGAATTTTTTTTTTTATTATTTTGACTTACAGGAGGCACGGTGGAGTAATGGATAACGGCTCGGATTGAAGAATCAGAGAGCCGAGTTAACTTACATGCTAATACCCTTGGAAAAGGTATGAATCTTCTTTCCACCCCACCACCCACCGCCAGCTATGGGTAAATAGCAGGACAGACCTTGGATGGCAGCTGGTCTACCGCAGAAAGAAATGGCAACATACTGCGGGGAAATAATCTGTCTCGTCAGTCATGTATCGAAAGATACATGATCGCCTAAGCGTGTGTCACGCATGGAACATAACTGACTGAATCTTACTTACGAAGATGCTTGTTGAGGAAATGTTATAAAATACAAATAAATTTTAAATTTACTAGAGGTAACGCTCTTATTTATAATAATATCGTGTATTGGGGTCTGTATTTCCAAACATCAAATTCAAAATTCTTTTTAACATACGGGGGAGGGGGTTGAATTATAGCGAGCTTTTCTATTTTGGATAAGTAAATACAGTTTTAATTTCATAAAAGTATCACTTGAACGCTACAAATTAACCCTAGAACACTAACCATCAATTAAAGTTACACCACTACTAACCATGGCTATATCATACCCGATTTTGAAAATATAAAAAAAAAAAAAAAAATTAAATATAAATCTTTATTTGAAATATTTTACATGCAGTCACTTCAAACTTTGTACTTTGAGTTAACATTAATAGGAACTAAAAAACATTATTTAGGTAAGAAAATCAGGTACTGAAAATTTTAATAAAAAATATGAATATTTGCGCTGGGTACTACATACTCATGGTTAGTGTTCTAGGATTAAAACAGAATTTTAAAAGATTTAAAAGTTTATAAATTCATTATTCATCCAATAAGAACTTAATACCATATTGTCCATAATGTATTTCATTCATAAAGGCAATTAAAAGATTTTTAAATTAAATAATCTCTTTTTTTTTATTGCATTTTTAATTTACGATTTTAGAGCAAATTTTCTGTAACTGGAGGTCCTGTTTAACCAAAACAGTTTGATGATTTAAATTCTCCGAGGACTGGTTCTGAAAACTAATATAAACATTAAGCGATACAAAAAAGAATTTCTAGAAGTTTCATAAACTTTAAAGAGATGTAACAGATGTAAAAAATATTGTTTTTATAAATATTTTCTAAAAAACACATTTAAAAAATAATTTCATTCATTTCTGAATAAATCCTGAAAGTCTCATAAAAATCCGCCAATTTTCTGATTTTTGCAAGAATTTCCAAATCCGTTTTGTTTTACAACGCAAAAAGATACTTACATTTCCCATACAAAGGTCCTGCGTTGATGTCGGAAAAACAAGATTTAGGAATAATCAATCTTGAAATTTACGTATCGTTATAAGCATGTTCATTCGTTACTTTCGCTTGAGGATGAAACAGGGCTTGTTACCTTAATTCAATTTAATTTTAATAATTATATTGAGGGTTTTGGCTCTCTTTTTTTGAAACATGAGAACTCTTATGTAGCGAAGGAATCATATTTTTTAAAAATTTTATTATATATATATATATATATATATATATATATATATATATATATATATATATATATGCATAAAGTAAAGTAAGTTAATACCAAAAACAAACATTATATTTTTAAAAAGTGCTTAATATAGAGTAAAGCTTAATAATAAAAATATTTATTAACAATTATAACCAAAAGCACTACATAAATTCACACAACATGAGCTTCTTCAGGCGAACTAGTTCGTTCAGAAAGAGTATAAACTTTGGATCTGATAATACGTTCAACAGATTTATCAAACATCTGGTCTTGATGAGCTTTTCGATGCGAAACTCTTGAGTCGGCTAATCGGATAAGTCACTGGAATTTTTTCTTGGTTTATTATTATAGTTTTAGTTATCTACTGAGTACTTTTTAGTAGAAGTTCGGCTAACCTGAAAAAAAAAACATGTTAATTCATCAGATTCTTCACTCATTTTCTCAGTTGTATTATTATTATTTTATTTCCTTTGATCTTTTGGTGTTTACTCATTTCTTTCCGGGTCCCGACCAGAGACCTAAGGTTAGAAATGGCATCATGACATTTTCCACTGAACAGTTTTGAGAAAAAAATCGCACACATTTTACATAGATAGTCTTTCGTAAGGTGTGGGCAGTACTTGTGAATACATTTTTTTTTAATTTCTTTAAGGCATGGGCTACCAGGAATCCCTTCAATGAGTCTATTGGAATCTTTTCCAATCAATCCGAGGGCTCCAACTACAACTGGAATTATTAATATCCTCATGCGCCACATTTTTTAGATTTTCGATTTCATGGTCCTTGTATTTTGATAGTTTATTTGAAGATCTTCAAAGATACATTGCAGTCTGCAAGGACTGCCATATCAATAAGGAGGCACTTTTTCTGTTTGTGGTCTTTAATAACAATTTATGGGCGATTGGCCTTAATTGTTCTGTCAGTGTGTATTGTATAGTCCCATAGAATTGTAACAGGTCCAATCTCCGTAACCGGGTCTGGGTGTTGTTCATAGCAGTTTCTTTCAGTTTCCTTCCCGTAGAAGTTGCATATTTTCCAGTGTAGATATTGGCCCACTCTGTCATGCTGGGTTTTATACTCAGTGGGTGCCAATATCGTGCAACCTGATACAAGATGATCAATTGTTTCTGGATATTTATTTCAGAATCTGCATTATTATTATTATTACTATTATTAGAAGAAGATCTTCCAAAATACATTGCAGTTTGCAGGGACATGCGCATCAATAAGTAGACACTTTCTGTCTTTGCAATCTCTAATCACGATGTCTAGGCGATTAGTTTTGATTGTTCTGTCCGTGTCTAAAGTTCCATAAAATTGTTACAGGCCCTATATCTGTAACCGGGTCGGAGTGGTGTCCATGCCAATTTCTTGCAGTTTCCTTTTCTTAAAAGTTACAGATTTTCCAGTGCAGATATTGGACCACTCTGTCATGTCGGATTTTTATATTCAGAGGGTGCTAATACTGTGCAATCTGATTCAAGAGAGTCAGGCGAGTGTTTTGAGAAACTGTTTCGTGCATGATGAAGGACCTGTGTTATGATACAGAAAAAAAAACTATTTGCAATGGGGAGAAGGGCAAGTATAAAATGATACAAATTGTTTCCAATAAGATCTGTGTCTGTCACCCCTGTCAAAACACATTCCAGTTTCAATGGTGGTCATTGCAAACATAAAAAGCCAATTATTTAACCTCCAAATCAAATTTTTTTAGCGTCTCTTGGTCGCTAATGATACAATGTAACAGCTACACCACTTCTTTACCTATTATGCCACATACAGGTCATTTGGTCGAATCCATTTCCAAGTATAGGGTAGACTGAAAATATGTCTTGCTGATTGGATTTCCTTTTGTACATATATATATATATATATATATATATATATATATATATATATATAATTTTCAGTGTGGTTAGACGTCAGCTGGTATCGAAACCCGACTGAATGGGCATCTGTCAGATATCTTACCTCTACGCTACCGTCGCACGGGAGAGAGAAAGGTAATTTTAACATTTTTCTTATACTAAATACGCCAGCGGCTCAGAGAACTACATTCATTTTA